CACCTTACATAAAGAGTAGTTTTCCTTACTTCACAGATATCATTTTCAGCTATATTAACAGAAATGGAAAAGATACTAAACATGGGGAAGAGGGGAGAATAAGTATTGAAGTGGGAGAAAAATCACTACTGACTTGTTTTAAAATTAAGTTTGCATATTTTGTCTACTCAGTTTCATTATTTAGAGCTGAGTGTTTTGAAATGTACACAATTTAATATAAACATGTCAGAACCTGTTTATTTTACTTACTGGGAGAGGCTCACATTGTGATCAGTGTTGAAGATATTATGCAGTTAATGATACAGTTAGATTTTAAACTGTGGACTATACTGAGAGCACACATTGGGAAAAAAAACCCTACTATGCCATCTGGAAATCTCTGTTCAGGCCTCAGAATGCTGAACTGCTGTCATGTGTTCATCACTCAAAGATATCTTCTGAGGAGAACAACATGCATCTTATACCACTCCCAGTTTCAGGCATGCTATCTAGCATGGTCTACTGATGTCTAGGCATTAGCCTGGTCATCTTACTCCAGTTATTCCATAGGATGCAGCAATGGCAATTCAAGGCTTATTGAAATGGTGTAATAGTTGTGGAGAATCAGCCACTATTTCTGATTTCTATAGATGGTTGTAGAAGATGGGACAGTAAAAAAAAAAAGTTCACTGGAAGTAAAACAAGTCATTTGGGATGTGGTTCGGCAAATACAAAAACAACAACAAATGAATGGGTCTTAAACCAAGAAAATTATGGCTGAACACTCACTATAAGCTAAAATAATAATAAATAATACAGAAAAAACTTTATTTGTATCCTGCCCCCTCTCCCAAAAGAGACAATGCCACTGAGGTTATTGCATTTCTGACACATGAGATGATGTGACTCACTTGACAAGATGATAATACTTGGTAAATAGAAAGGTAATGGGGAAAGTGGGAGACGATGCGATGGGTTAATTTAATAAGGGAAGCCGAGGCGCTGGCCTGAATGGGGCAGTTGATGACTAGGGATCCTGGAGGACTCTCATTCATAGGGTTGCCATAAGCTAAAGTCGACCTGTTGTCAAAAAATAACAGGTGAAAGTCATATAGGTAATTATTGATAATATGAAAATCTACCGAAAGGTTACCCCGAAATTGTGCTAAAATATAGTGCTAAAATTGTGTTTGTTATTGTTTTATTTACATATATTTATTAATTTAACTGTGCTGTGTACCTGTTTCTATGTACTTCTGAAAGTTTCTAGTAATGTAGTGATCTCTGGCAGATTCATAAAATTACTGTCTATCTGCCAAGTCATCTTGTAAAGTCAGGTAGTTCATGCAACACAGTTGTGCATATGTATGCCTCTTCTAAAACAGTTGAAAATGGTTGCATTTGTGTGCTGGAAGGGAGCATGCTTTTCGGAACAAGCCCCTGATGAACCATCTTATTTTTCCTCCTCACAAATGGCACATCTAGCTAACTAGCTTCTAGGTAGGTTGCTGGATGGGTGCCTAGACTGTCGGCAAGTTACAAATATAGGCATATTCTGGGTACTTCCCCACTTTTATCTCAGGAAAGAATTTGTGTTGAGAAATCCAGAGTGTCAACAGATATGGTAGTTTAAAGTCGTTGGTGTCTGAGTTGCCAAAAGCAACAAAGATGATAACTTCAAATTGAGACATTTAGTAGAAAATTTTGGAGAGCTGATGGGAATGTAGGAAATATTTAACAGATGTATGGATATAAAATATGTACTACTACTAAAGATAAACATGTATTTTTTTTTAAAAAAAATGTTGCATACAGCCTGCTACCGTTCAGTCTGAAATGAGCTGAAGTGCTTGGAATTGGACTTATTACTAAACCGTAGGAACAATAGCAGCAACAATAAAATGTACTTCACCATTAACCTTGGAATATTTAGAAAACTGACAAAATTGCTGTAACAAAACAAAACATAATTTGAAGATAAGATAAATAAAATTGCAACCAAGCTTCAGAACAGGTTACAAAACAACAACAACAACAATGTAGCACTAAATCCTAATTCGAAATTCCGGAAAAGCCTGCTGAAATAATACTGATCTTTTGCCCAGAGGAAATACTGATGAGACAAGGCATGGTGGGGTTTCTTGGGAGACAATTCCGGAGTTTGGGTGCAGATATAAAAAAGCTACTCTTCTAAGTATCTTCTTCACATCCAATATGGAAGGTCCTGAAGCAGGGCATCTGCTATGAAATTCTCAGGCAGATTTATGCCAACAGATAGTTCTCAAGATTTCATGGCCTAGGCAATTTGGAGCTATAGATGTCAAAATTAGCTGCTGTGTGTTTTGCAATGAGTAGGGGCAAATGCATTTTTCACAATTTTGTAATGAGAAAATCTTGAGCAGTATGAAATGCATTATATTTTAAGTATTGACAGCTCGATCATGAAAGTTCGAGATAGATATGAAAGAAAAAGAGGGCCCAGATAGTTCCTAGCCTATCATTATGTGCCCTTCCAACACAGAATATCAAGGCAGATACTCCACAAAGAAAAATTTACTGAAGTAGGATTGCATCTGTTTGCCCTTATGAAAGAGGGAAAAGCCACTCCCTCTACATGTTTTTATATATAAAATATGTATTTTATTCCATACACATATATAAAGAGGATTTGCTTGCATAAAATTGACAATATGAATGAGACCACAATGAGGAATGGAAAATGTTCTGATAGTGAAAGGGTCTGAAGGCATGGGGCAGAGCCAGAGGAAATTATTACCAGGTTGGACATTTTCCCACTAAGCCTGCCTGGCATTGTATTTATGCCTGCTCAGATAGTCAACCCAATTCAGTTTATGTGTACAATACCACATCACATGCAGATCACATGCAATAGTTTCTCAGCTTTGTGCAGTGTCTTGTCTCCAGTCACAGAGAATAGAAACATCATCTTGCAAGCCAGATTAGCATGCCACCCATTTGCCAGTGATATGCAGCACAGAATCTTGGGTCTCTTCACCTCTGATAGAAGATATCGGAGCTCCTTCAAAATGTATAGAGCAATAGTAGATTTCATTGTTTAATACAAGCTACTTCTGCAACCCCTCTCAATTTCAAAGTTTCCCATATGAAATGGGGGTAGATGGGAGTGCTGCTTAGAAAAACATATGTAGAGCAGCCTTGGGTTCATGAAGCCAGTGTCACAATGTTTCACAAAGGCCAATGGGCTGAATCCAACCCGCCATGTCATTTTATCTGGCCCTTCAAATGCTGGACTCCTGTGTTCTTCATCATTAGACATAATGGCAGGAGCTGATGGGAGTTGTGATACAGGAACATCTGAAAGTCTGCAGTTAATAATAATAATAATAATAATAATAATAATAATAATAATAATAATAATACTAATACTAATACTAATAATAATAATTTTATTTGTTACCCACCTTTCTTTGTGAGTCGTGGTGGTTTACAACATAGCTAAAAACACATAATCATTTTATAAAATGCATGTATTAAAACATATTTCTACAAAATACAAATATTAAAATACACAGAATAATGATTAAAATACAATGGATACAAGATGAGAGTTTAACATTCATGATTAAAACTGGCTGGATAGGTCTACCGGTCTTCAGATGAGTTTAAATTCATTTAGCTGTTGAAGCTCTTCTGGCAGGTCATTCCACAGTCTTGAGGTGGCTGATAAAAAGATCTTCCTCTGGGTGATGGCTGCCAGTCGGGTTCTGGCAGGCTGGAGTAGCAATGCCCCTAGAGGACAGGGTGGATTGTGTGGGAGAAGGTGGTGTTTGGGGCAGATTGTACTGGATAAGGTGATTCTGTAGGGTTTGTTTTTTTCATTTCAGGAGAGACTTGAGAAACTGCAAGTCACTTCTGGTGTGAGAGAACTGGCCGTCTGCAAGGACTTTGCCCAGGGGACGCCCGGATGTTTTTAGTATTTTTACCATCCTTGTGGGAGGCTTCTCTCATTTCTCCATGTAGGGAGCTGGAGCTGACAGAGGGAGCTCATCCGTGCTGTCCACAGATTTGAACCTGTGACCTGTCAGTCTTCAGACCTGCCAACACAGTGGGTTTAACCCACTGCACCACCGGAGGCTCCTATTCTGTAGGTAACCTGGACCCAAACCATGTAGAGCTTTAAAGGTACAATAAATATTTCTAGATGATATAAAGATATGAGTGCCCTAATCCACAAATACATGTTTTAGTACAGTGCATAGTAACTGGTGGAGTTTTTGATTTCACTTATATGTTGATAAATTAATTGTTTTGATTAATGTTTATGTCCCTCATAGTGATATAGCAAATACGTTTCCTAATTCTTTTTTGAATCTGATTGATTGTTGGTGGCCAGTGATTCTATGTTTCCCTGCTTTTTCGATAGTTTGCAAGGATTAATTAAGAGGAATGTACAAAGCCTCAATACTTCTGCAGAAGTTGGAGAAGTTCTTCTAATGCATTCCCACTGGGAGCTGTAGTGCAAAAAAGGGACTTTTTGGAGTTCTGATCTGCTGTGACAGATCCAAGATACCCAACAATGTTTTCAGAAAACCTAATGGGAGAGGTGCCTGTCTTCCAGAAGAGCAGAAAAAAGCCATCTGTTTCACCATAAACTCCACTTTTTTCTGGTGTTTACAATTATCTTCCTCAGGAAAGAAGAGGAGATAACTTGTGGTTTCATCTTTACTGAGCATCTGTTCAGATGTCTCTGAACTGAACTAAAAGAGGATGAGAGATCAAAAGCGCTGAAATTGAAGGAGATACTGGATCTATCCCAGTGACTTTTTTTATTAGGCAAGCAATCTTTAAGATGATAATTTTTTAAAAAAAATCAACACTATGCCATTTTAAGTACTGTACCCTTTAATCTCCCTTTTCATTTATGTGTTCAAATCAAGAGACAGCCATGCTAAAAAGAAGCTGCATTGATCTTTTCTCCTTCTTTCTGATTCCATTAGCTGAGCTTTGGGGCAGGTATGTGTCTTGTGATATTGTCAGGATAACATAATCACTATGCATCGCTGTGCATCTTTATTAATGCCTGGAACAACACATAAAATGAAAGCACGTGATATGTTTTTTCTTCAAAAAGTCAGTACTTAACTAGATTTCAAATAAGTGTGTAGATTACTTTGTCAAATTAAACTGCTGCTGTGCTACTTATCTTGCTTTGCAGGTGCTTGAAAGAGCACCCACTAATGTTTTGCAGGATAAAAACAGGCACACTCAATAAACAAGTGTTTCTTATGGAAGAAAACGGAGAATGGAAAAATACTGCACACATCTTTTAAAAGTTATGTTATGCACTTTTTTACAGGCTGCTTGAGATGACATATCAATGGCTTGTATGACTTGTAGAGAATTTGCGGTGGTGAAATGTGAGTAGAAAACATAGTGTCACAGAAAGGACAAGCAAAAACACAAAGGAAAAAAGGAAAGGGGTAGAAAACAGAAAGATGAAATTAAGATCTCAACAAACACAAGAGGGTGCCAGAGGTGTATTACAGATATGCATGGTAAAGAGAAGATGATGAAGAAAATATTTCCCCAGCTTCCAGGGGCTCCATCACACAACATAGTTATGCTGCTGTGATTAACTAACATGGCTGCATCCTATGGGATCCTGGGAATTGCAGTTTAGGGAGGGATATTTCAAATTTACAGCCAGAGAGATGAAGGTAATGAAGATAACTCAACGGCTGCATTTCTCTGACTTGGGAAATTAAAAATTAAACTTTGAAAAGGAAGGTTATATTTTATTTATTTTGTTTTAATTATTTGTATGATGCCCTACCTTTCTTCCAATATGGGACCCAAAACTCTGAGTTGTTTAAGTATAAATAATACAGATGAAACACGACATATTTAATACTTTTGGAGTGTATACTGTAAAACCACAATAACTATGGATCCCATATCCACAGTTTCACCTACCCTGTGCCCCAAAGAAAAATGGGAATTTGCTACGTTCTCCATGGAATTCTAAGGTGGTCTTCTCCCAAATGTCACCTTAGGATACCCCTTTAGGAATTTCTAGGGCTGGATCTACACTGCTATATAATTCAGGATATTAAATCAGATAATCCAGTTAATGTGTTCGAACTGGATTATATGAGCCTACACTGCCATATAATCCACTTAAAGCAGATAATCTGGATTTTGTATGACAGTGTAGATCTAGCCTAGTTCTTCCAGGGTAAATCTATAAAATGTTGAGACTAGAAATTAGATCATTTAATGGTATTTGGTCATATCTGGTTTCAGGTCTAGCAGGGAATGTATTCCATGTGAATATAGGGAAGTCATGGGGCCCTTCCGCACAGCCATATAATCCAAAATATCAAGGCAGATAATCCACAATATCTTCTTTGAACGGGGTTATCTGAGGCCATACTGCCCTATAATCCAGTTCAATGTGGATTTTATACAGCTGTGTGGAAGGTGCCTTACTGTATCCTTAAAAATAGATCTCCATATTGTATTCTTTATGGTTGTTTTCAACAACAGTTTTATGTTTTTTGTGAATATTGTCGCTTTGCGGACTTCTGGGGAGTCTGTTAAGTGTTAACATTCCTATCACAGTTTTTATGTTAATTTTTTGACAAGTAACGTTGACTATGCCATTTGTATTTCTGATATTTGGGTTCTAACGATATAAAACATTGTGATCGGTATAGTTAAAACCTCATTGCCATTGCCTTGATTCTTCAACATTTGTGGCTGAATAGCGTTGGGAAATTTAGTACAATAAAAGCATGATAATATGGTGTGAACATCATGTTGATCCTCATTTTTTCTTTTGAGATTGTGGAGTTGGAAAGTGTGCTGGGTGTTTTATAGCTATTTTGCATTCACTTAATAATATTTCCTTTGTTTACTTTATTCTACAGTATCATTTGTTAGTTTATGATTATTGTGTTTTATGCTACTTGCATTATAATGGCTTCAGGTATTATACCTTTATGGTAGTTACGTGGTCGTTGCTGTAGTTATTATGCATTAATCCTTATTACTAATCTGTACAATTTATTTTCTATTTTCAATGTTTTTTTTACAAACATTTATGTCTTTTCACCATCTTGATTGTTATTTCAATAAAGCTTAAATTAGTTTTATTTTTGATATGCTTCAGGCTCAATGGTTATTCTCCCTGGGTTCACTGGAGCAAAACAAAATAGAGATAATAAAGAATCTATTTTTCAAGATGCATTTGCTAAGGAACATGAGCAAGAGGGGGCTAAAACACTTGTGCCCTGCTTCTAGGCTGTGGGCATGTAGTTGGCTAATATAGGAGCAGATTGCTGGATTTGTCTTTGGCCTCATCCAGTTTGGATCTTGTTATATTCTTAAGAAGTGCTACAAAACAGAGATGGAATATGGAGTGAGCTGCAGGAATAGCAGGTATTGTAGGCAATATTTCATAGAAAGAGACTGGCAAAACAACTTGTAGATAATTCTTTACCTACACATCACATGGTTGCAAAAGTACATTGGAGTTCAAACAATAAATATCCAAAATTGTTTGCACTCGCATCTGGAAATCTTCTTTTGATTGGAACATGTTTACAGATGTTCTAAATACATATAACTGACACAGACATTTGCTGTGGGAAACACAACACCACAAACAAATCAGCCTTATGCTCTCCTTTGAACAGAAGCTTGGATGTGGGCTTTTTGCTTTGGATGAACCCCATGTTTTGAGTAGAAGGTGACAAAGAGGTGTGTGTGTATGTATGAGTGTTAGATTCTGTCTTTTGTAGTCAGCTCAGCATTCACAGGCTGGAATCAGGGTCTATGAACACACCCAAGAGAGGGTAATATGAAACACTGGTATTTCCCACAGTGATCATAAGATACAGAGCAGTGAGAAGGTATGAATGAATGAAGGCCAAGAAAGATATATGTTGCAGGAGCTAAGGAGGGAAAGGAACCAGAACTTTATCCTGTTGCTCATTATTGAGCCATGGTACTTGGGCTCTATACTAATAAAATAAAACTTTATTTATATACCGCTCTATCTCCCTGGGGGGACTCAGGGCGGTTTCCAAACAACAACATCAAAACATACAGAGTCACAACATGAACAAAAAATAACAGTAACAGCAACGTAAGTATGGAATTACCCAACAACACATAAATATTAAAAGAAACAAGAAAAAATATTGCATGCTCTTCATGTCTATTTTTTAGGGCATGGAAAAGGAATGGGTCAGGACAATTAAAAAGGGTGGGTCAAGACTGATACAAATTGAAATAAGATGGGACTGGCCTTTAGGTACAGTACTGTAATAGATAAGCAACAAAAGCGGGGATGGGCTATTTCCAGGGGCCTGTTAGGAGAATGTCCAGGGTAATATATAAGGGCAAGGTCATGTCCGGACAGTGTCTGGGCTGAGCTAGCATTGGTCACTCTTAAAGATTTGTTGAAACCACCAAGTCTTCAATTCTACCGAAAAGAGGAGAGGGCTAGGGCCTGTCTTATTTCCCTTGGAAGGGCATTCCAGAGGTGGGTGGGTGGGACCACCGAGAAGGCTTTCTCTCTCGTCTTCACCAACCATGCTTGTGACAGAGGTGGGAGCGAGAGGAGAGTTCACACCAGTTCATAGATGGAGATGCGATCGCGAAGATAGGCGGGGCCCAAACCTATCTAAAGCTGCTTCTGACTTCTTAAAGTAGAATTTCTGTATGTCTAGTCAGGGCAGTTCAGATGCAGGTTGGTAATATAGATCTTGCTTTAAGCAGTAAGATGCAGACCATGATTGAGGAAGTCAGCTTCTTTCAACACCCAAATCCTTTGGTCAATGTTAAATAATTATTTGGTTGTTAAATTCTGGGAGATGTAGTCACTGAGCAATTTTTTGGATGCACAAGTTGATATGAGACAACATAAATTATTTCTTTCATTCGTTCATTTTCTTTTGGAAGCACAGGGTAAAATGATGAACATTCACATCCTGGAAAACACTTCTGCTTGGCCAAGTGTTCTAGAACAGGGGTCCTCAAACTAAGGCCCGGGGGCCGGATATAGCCCTCCAAGGTCATTTACCTGGCCCTTGGTCAGGGTCAACCTAAGTCTGAAATGACTTGAAAGCACACAACAACAACAACAACAACAACAATCCTACCTCATCAGCCAAAAACAGGACCACACTTCCCATTGAAATACTAATAAGTTCATATTTGTTAAAATGGTTCTTCATTTTAATTATTGTATTGTTTTAAAGTGTTCTTTGCACTACAAATAAGATATGTGCAGTGTGCATAGGAATTCATTCATGTTTTTTCAAATTATAATCTGGCCCTCCAACAGTTTGAGGGACTGTGACCTGGCCCTCTGTTTAAAAAGTTTGAGGTCCCCTGTTCTAGAAGTTCCCTTGAACATCTTTCCTTTCTTAGAATTCAGATCAGCTCACTTGGGACACCTTCCTTCCCAATTTCTTAGCATGGGTACTCTGCATGAGATTCAAAATTTAGGTAATCTTGGCATGGTGCCTTTACCCTTCCACAACATCTCCCAGAAATCTAGTCAGCATAGCCAATGACAAGAAATTATACTTTAATAGTCTAACAGTTTGGCAGGCCAAAGGCTCAACCACCTCTGCTCTGAAAAATGTAAGAGTTACAGTACTAAATATGTATACAAAGAGAAATGGTTCAAGCTCAGCTTACCTGTCCCAATATGATCCACCTCGGAGGTTAAAATCTTCTCAGAAGGCCCTTCTCTCAGTCCCTCCTCCTTCACAGATATAATTGGTGGGCAAAATGTGTAAGTATCAGCAATAAGCATAAAGAGTAATTAGTAAACAGAGGTGTATCTATATGAAGGCAAGATCATTTGGTAAACAAAGGCATAGTGGAGTATGATACATAATATACCAGATTAAGGATCAGAAGAAAGATGTGAGAATACGGGCATGACAGCCTACTTGTGGCTGAGATGTCTGTCCTGTAGTTGGTGGATTATCCCTGCCTTATTGATCTATATTTTCACTTCATTTGGTGAATATTTTAGCTTGTGAAATTTTTGTTGTCATTCCACAAATTTGGCATCCCTGTCATCTGGATCCGAGCAGAAGCAATTATATGAAAGAGAATGGTTGTAAACTACAAAATTAGTAGTGTGTTCAAGGTGGAAGCTGGAGGCACGTATTTCTCTGGCTATCAAACATCATGTGCCTTCTAGTTTCCCATTAACCTCTTTCTCACATTTTCGTACAAGATGTAGTAGTTTGTCACTTTCCAAGGTGAACATCATTGTTAAATTCTGCCCATGTTTCTAATGTCTCCGCTCCTCCCACTCTTAATATCTGAAGATTTAATTAATCTGCCATTTCCTCCCTCTTCCAGAACATTAATGAAGCTACTAAATAGGATCAGAAGCAATACCATTTTCTCAACAATGCATTAACAGCTTCCCCCACCCCTTCCAAAGTTGTTGTTTATCATTGCCCTTCATTTCAATTATCAAGAATGCTTATTCCCAAATTAAGCATTTTTTGTAAAAAAAATCTGATTGGCATTTTTATAAAACCAGGCTGTATCACGGTGGTTGTTTCTTGCTTTCCAACATTTAATTTAGTACTCACACAAGAACAATTACTCAATTACTTTGTTACTTTGCACTATTAAAAAGGCTCACTCCTTACATCCACAATAATAATGGTCCGTGATACCTATAAACTGTCAGTGAGAATGTCCTACTCTATATGGGGTTCTCTGTCCAACCCCTGATGATACCTGGCTAGATCTCCAAATTTCAAAACAGTGGGGAAAATATGCTTCCTTCAGTTCTAAATGTTTATCAGGCCAAAATGTTTTGCCTGCCAGCAACACTAATGACTAAGTGATTCTAGTTTCTCAAGCTAGGGAGCTTCAAAGCTTAGGGGAAACCAAGAAAACAATCCCAGGGATCTCAAGGTGTAGGTAGATTCATACAAGATGAGATGATCTGTTGGATAGAACTGTCATACAAGCCTTTATAGGTCAAAACCAGCATTCAGAGATGTAGGAAGGACTTCATCCCACAAGTGTGTGTGTGTGTGGGGGGGGGGGGGGGAAGCGGAGGGAATAATCTTATTCTCTTACCTACAATCTTTCCTACCTTCTGGGATGGTTAGCCACCCCACGGCCTTTCTGCCTCAAGGTCAATCTTTCCCCCATTTTTCTCAATTTGGATCGAGGATTTTAACAAGGATTCTTAAAGTAAAGAGTTGAATCTCTTGAATATCATAGTAATAGTGTTGCTGATCATGTGTATGTGCAAATACAAAAAATAAAGTTGCACAATTTGAGCTAGGCAAAACCAAGTGCCAACTCCACTCGTACATATAAGGCATGTTAGTGATCCATCAATAGTAGATAAATTCTCCTGGGTGAATGTTTACAAAGTCAGGAGATCCATGTGAATAAAAGCAATATAATGCAAGTGTGGGATTCACTTAATTAAGTTTGACTTTTTCCTCCTCTGTATTCCTTCTCCAAAGGTACATGTTGCCTACAGCCCAATAAACATGAATAATGACCTGAGTGTGAATCAATATGGTTGTGTTTTACTACTATAAGTGTTATAAAATGGTTCTTACAAAGTCTGAACAATAAAGTTGCAATAGTGCCATCTAGTGTGATATTTATAAAATATGTTTCACTCGGCCTTGTGAGTTTAGTCCTGTATGAGGAAAGTTCTTGGGTAGGAAGAGACAATGGATTTCAATGATAATTCCACTTTTCCCCCAAATGTTCTTTGAAGTGAAGTTTTATAAATATGAATGTTAACCACTAATGTCTTTCATGGAAGACAACATTTGGTTATGTTATGTTTCAGAACAATCTAACAACTAGTAATGAAACCAACTTTTTTTTAGTACAACAAGCAATTATATTATGAATAAACTGTATTTTTAATATTCAAGCTGAGTATCACTTATATGAGATCCTTTGGATCTGAAGTGTCCCATATTTCAGGTTTTTTTAAAAAAGTAGATTTTAGGATACTTGCATATACATAATAAGATATCTTGGAGAGGGCCCCCAAGTCTAAACCTGTCATTCATTTATGTTTCATGTACACATTAGGCACATAGGCTGAAGGTAATTTTGTACAGAATACTTCTAATGATTTTGAGCATGAAACAAAGTTTGTATACACTGAACCATCAAAAAGCAGAGGTGTCATTTTCTCAGCCGTTCATATGAACAATTTTGATTTTTGAAGTTTTTTGGATTTTAGAATTCTGGGTAAGGCACCTTCAACTTGTGTCAAACAAGATAATTTTATGTCAGTGTTATATATAATGAATGTTATATTCCCGGAAGAACAAAATGACTTTCAATCTGTAAAGGATTTTAATATTGCTTTTGTTTTCTGAAAATGTTCCACCCCGAACTACAAAAACCTTGCCTTCATTTTCCCCATAGCTTCAAAAGTTCTCAATTTATTATATCTCCAGATTAAACTAAAGTAGACCTATTGAAGCAAAAGGACTTAGGTAGGTTTTGTATCACAATTCAATAGTAGATTGCAATGAGTATACTTTCCAGTCTAGCAAACGAAAATCCATTTTCATTCTTTCACATAGCCTAATCACTTCAGTCAAAGGAAGATAGATTAAAAACCTAGGTATAAAACCTGGGGCAGGCAACCATTATATAGTTGCTATATCATGACCACTCCTTAACATACATTGAGCAATTTGTTTGGAACATTTGCTGTTGTTGGTTGAGTACTTTCTCCAACTAACACTAGGAAATCAAGTGAAACATTTGCCCTGTCTTAGACCATTCCACATTTTTTGTTTGTTTGATATATATGTCTTTTTTTCTTCCAGTACAGGACCCAAGCTGACTTTTAAAAATAGAGTAAAACCAAATACATTTTAAAATCTAAAAATGTGGATTCAACACTGAATGGCCAGCAATGGCCAGGAAACTATTAGCACCGTTAAGGCTTGTGCAACAACCACACCTGTTCTAAAGATGTTGGATACCGCCACCAATTAGGCCTTTAATGATGTTAGGACTGAGAAAAATTCCTCTCCACAAAGATATTAAGATTTGGACAGCTTATATACAGGTCCTGGACCCAAGCCATGAAGGGCTTTACAGGTCATAATAAGTACTATGAAATTATAATGAAGTTACATGCAACCACATCATATGGGCACCTTAATCTCCACACTTTGTAGCGAATCCGGCAATGCCAGCGTGGGGAACCCATGATCCCACACCTCACATCGCCCGGCTTCCCCTACCTCATCCCGCGGGGGGAAGCGTCTGCCGCCCGGCTTCCCCCGTTGATTCTAGTTGAACACAGGAAACCTCTTGTGTTGCCGCAGCAGGATATGCCAGATTCTCTGTGACAGAGCCCCATCGGAAGTAGTTCTATGCCATGGGATGGACGCCGGAGGGCTCTATCAGAAAACTATAGAGGATCCAGCATGTTTTATTAAAAGTTACCCCATCTGATGAGGAGATAGTGGCCATTAAAAGAATGGGGCTATTCAGGGTCACTTTGACCATAATCGATTGGGTTTATGGTATTCCCAGAAAGGATTTTCACTTGTTTTATAATTTTTATTTTCCTATTTTTGGAATCCTATCCATAACAGAAGAAAACATCAACATGAATGGAGTTTGTCTATGTATTATCCCATAACTGTGTGTTTGACAGTGCTTCCCAGCGTTCAGAAATAAAAGGCTTCCAGAAGAAATTGAGAGTGCCTTATGCATCATCTTCGTTATTATTAATATCCTGCTTTATTTTATATCCTGCTTTTTAAATAAGACCCCCAAAGCAGCCAACAACACTAAAAATAGTACAATACGCCATTTAATTTTTTTTAAAAAAAATACAAACTCTAAAATAGGATTAAACATTGAACTATCAAAAATAAATAATCATTCCCATGAGTAGTTGCTTGGTGCAAATATAAGCTACCCTTGATACTCTTCATTTTCTGTGTCAAAACGGTCTTTACTCTGCAGAGAAAGAGATGTGTGCCTTTGTTTTTTACTCACACCACATAAGGAATGTGTGTATGCATGTAAGGGTCACCTATTCCATGAGCAGCTGCATTCTGAAATGTTGGGGTTTTTTTTTTTTTACTTTTAGAATTATTAGTGCCTACTTGTTGGGGTTTTTTTTTAAAAAAAATTTACTTTTAGAATTATTAGTGCCTACTTATTACATTTACAGTATTTGAAATAAAGAATCCTCATTGTCTCTCTCTCACATACAATATGTGATGAATCAACTTTCTGTGAGGGAGATAAAAATATTCTATTCAACTAGGTTAGGCCTCACTTGAAATCTGCATTTTTTCAGGAAGATGTTTTTTAGGGTGTTTGCTCAAGACAAGAGTCATTGAAACTTACTCCATCTCTGTTATCTTTTGTATTCACAGGAGATTGTATGCTGCCCTTTGTACCTGGGGCAATGGGATTATGAATGACGGAGGAGGGCATATCCTGTAGGGTCAAAGAACACTTTTCACTTCTTTCTTCTTTGACTAACATCGAATCTGTTTTGGGCAAAAGTAAGAGCACAAGAAGAAGCTCCTGTAGGCTGCCTGAGAGACTGATCTTCTCAACATGTCCTTGGCTCCTACAGCTTCCACCAATGTTGTCCTCTCCTCCCCTTCCCCAAGCAACTGGGGGCCAGAAAATGTTTCTTTCCCAGAAGATTTTGCATGGGGAGCATCAACAGCAGCCTATCAGATTGAAGGTATCCCTTTTGCTTTTTATCTTTCTGCAGTTAGAGTTTGTAGTGGAGGGGAAGAAACTGAGTGCTTAAAATATATTGACTGAAATAATGGTTTAGCCCTTGTCAATAGGAAGAAGGAGGCACTTGAGTTGGAGTTTTCATTATTGTTTACAGCCACTAAATCTCATGTTGTTCTGGGGGAGATTTTTCCCATTATTTTTCTCTTGCTTTGGACAGCAGCAAAACAAAGGAACCTCTTGATGAATAATGGGAATGGATGCCAACTTCAGAGAAAAGTAGAACAAAGTTTGAATTAATCACACTCTTGCAACCTGAGAATTGCTGCACAAATTCTCAGCTATAAAATAAAATAACAATTAAAAGCCTAAATCTGGTTGCTAGTTCCAAATAAATTATCTGTACTGACTCAATGAGAACCTGGTAAAACTACATTAAGTGTAATCCGTATTGATTCAGTGGACTAACAATGGAATGTAGTTTTTAAAAAATTAATCATTTATATCTCGTTTTTCTACAATAGCATCAAACATCAAAGTAATGTATTTATAAACCTATAAATTGCCAGAATTAGAAAATGTTTGTGCACTCATAGGATATGAAATCGGCTTCTGCATATACTTAGCTGTATTGTCTTGGTTTGCTAATATCTTATATACAAAATTGAGTGTGTCTTCAAATGTTTTCCTAGCTTGTGTGTCACAACAGACAGGGCAGATTGATGGGAATCCCCCATAACAGAACAGAGGTTGAAGTTACCTTATTTGTAATCCATTGCATGAGAACTGCTTCCGGCACAGCCTGTGTGATTGCAATAGCTTTGAACTCCAATATAAGTTTTTGGTCACCCTGCTCCTCAATCTGTGACAAGAGGAGACAGGGTCTTGGCAGTTGTCCTCAAAGTATGGCCAGCCCAAGTACTTCCTTTGAGTCAAAATGTTATCAGGTGGATTGCTGCCTGGCTCAGAATGCCGTTGCTATGTTATCTATACTATAGACATAAGACTTTAAACACACAAACACTTCTCGTGTCCCCATCTACGGTCTGTGAGAATCTCTGGTAATGATCCAAACTATCTACAGCTCTCAAATACTTTCTAATGAGATGGTACACCTTCTTGGAAGGGGGCCTGAAAGCTTTTGAAGCAAGAGAAAACAAATGCCTGGTTCCATTCAGCTTGTTGAAAGAGATAATTCTCAGAAGAGCAGGTTTCTCTCTGTACTTACATGCCAGCATAGCTTGACTTTTGCTTGTAAATAATGGCCAACTGATAGCCACTTGGTGATGTCTGACAGTCTCTTGTTGATTGTTCCTTCCTTTCTGGAGAGGTTATCCAACAGCAGTTAAGTCCTTCTAAAATGTGCAGTTGTTTATTGGTAGCAGAAGCTATATCTTACCTTCTTTTTTAAGTTAAGGGTCACCATAAGTATTCAGGAGATTTGAAAGAATACACATTCACACATCTGTGCATGGACACAACTATACATGGCTAACGGTGGTTTTTCCATGCATTCTTTCACACTCTCAATCACTCTTATGCTATGTTCTTGATTTCCTACTTTTGACTCTTTCTCCCCAGTCTCTTTTTAACATTATGCTATAGTAACATTTCAATGTTTCTGCTGTCTTAAAACCTAGTACCAGCTATATCTAATATCAAACTGGTGTTGAACTTTACCCTCTTAATTCAAATTTGTATAACCCTTGTGTGGAAGAGAAGGAACAGTTGCTTAGAAACAGTCAGAGAGTCACCAAGTGACTGTAGATCAGCATTAAATATATTTTATTGCAATAACCCAGAGAGTTATTTAAACAGTACAGATTTTAAAAGTGCGGCCGTCTTTCCTTTTGCTTTTCAGGTGGTGTTCAAGACCAGTTCGTAGAATCAAGTGTTAAAGTTGAACCTAGATTGTAATAATTCCAGGGTGTGGGTGTGTTTATATTCTGCCAAAAACAGAAAAATCCCCCTTGCTGAACATAGAATGCTAGATTTTGAGGAGAGTGTTATTATTTATATTTGTAATTATTAGATGGTGATACACATTTGTATATTATGCTCAGCTATATTACAAAGGGAATATCACTTATTTCATTTGTTTGCTGCCTTTCTTTCAAACTGGGACCCAGAGACAGTCAATTTTAAACATTCACAGTAAATTTTTTAAAAAATTAAAATCATCTCATAAACAAATATAAAATCATTTTGAAAGCAAATAAAAAATTAAAAAGATAAACATCCCAATAAAAGCTCCCCTTCTTATACATTAAAACCTTGTTTAAATATGTCTTTGCTTGCCTGCCTGCAAAAGAAAGAAGGGAAGGGACTATAACCTCTCATGGAAGCACGTTCCCATAAGAGCAACCACGGAGAAGGCTCTCAAGTCCTCACCAAGTGATCCTATTCTCCTGTAGCTCTTAGAACTCTGGCAGGTTCAAGTGAAGAGATACAGTCTTTTGGATAGTCTAAGATGTATAAGGCTTTATAGGTCATGGCTTGGATTTTCTCCAAGCTGTGGATTTAAAATGAAATGTTTCAAATATACAGCATTCAGACTGAAAAATCTGCTTTACAACTTCATGTTTCAATGTTAAGCACTTGTTCTAGATCGGTGGTTCTCAAAGTGTGCTCCATGGAGCCCTTGGGGTTCCTTCCTCCCTCCTCCTCCCCCTTCCCCTCCAGGATTTCTCTCCTCTTTCTTTCTTCTCTCGCTCCCCGGTCTCCCTCACCACAAAAGCTTTTTCCCTCATTCCCCTCACCCGAGAAACCCCTTTCCCTGCCTTCCTCACCCCCAAAAGCCTTTTTTTCCTCACCAACAGATTGCCCCTGGGGTTGCTCCTATTATTATTGTTGTTATTATTGTTATTACAGAGGCTGCGTAGCCATCTGTTGGGTGTGCTTTGATTGTGCTTTTCTTGCGTGGCAGAAGGAGGTTGGACAGGGATGGCCCCAGAAGTCTTTCACTGAAATACTGTTATATTTCTGTTGGTTAAAATTGATTGTTTCTTTCCTTCCCCCTTTTTTTTTTTTGCCCTGTAAACAAGATATGTGCAGTGTGCATGGGAATTTGTTTGTGATTTTTTTCAATTAATTCACACAAAAACTCTCCATCCATCTGCCACACACATTGCTGTGGCCCAGTGAAAGGATAGAGAAGAGGGTTTCCTTGAGCTGTGGGCCACGTGCATGCGTCACTGCCATGGGAATCCAAAACAGGGATCTGAGGTGCATGTGCTGAGGTGCAAGCTAGAGGGCAAAGAAAGGAGATCTACGTATTCCTGCACTGGGATCTCAAGTTCAGAGATAAAAAGCCAAGAAAGGGGCCCCGTGTGCGCATGCTCAATGTAGGATGAACAAAGGAGAGGTGGGGTCAGGAGACTCTGTCTTGCACATGCGCTGCAACATCTTCTAGGACTTTCTGCTCTTCTCTTCCTTGTTGCTACATTTTTGTGTGTGTTCTGCTAACTTAAGAACACTTGTCAGTTTATTTGGTGTAATGTATCCAAATTTTGTAGCAATCCATCAATTAGTCAGTCTGTCAATGGCTATGCAGCTGATAACAATGTTTTAGATTGATTTTTGTTCATTGTGTAATTGTATTGCTGTTGCTTTTGTATGTTGCGGCATCAAATTGTTGCCAGTTGTAAGCCGCCCTGAGTCCCCCCTCGGGGATTGAGAAGGACAGGGTATAAATGTTTAAAATAAATAAATAAATAAATAGTTTGTGAGATATGAGGTCCCCAACAAATGGACATTGCATTTTTATTGATATATCACTTTTTGGGGGGCTCCACAAGAAACTTTTGCTTCAAAAAGGGCTTCGCAGCTGGGGAAAAAAAAAGAAAACCCCTGCTCTAGATGAAGCTCTAATTGAGAGTAGGTTCAGCTTGGTGGGTTCAGTGGCCAATTTTCTACCCCTAAGAACCATTGAGGACTTTAAACCTCCACAACGCTGGAAGTGACCAGAAGATCATCTTCTCACCTCAAGGTTTCACTTGAAAGAGCCTTCATATCATCTTTTAGAGGTGGATTCTGCATCTTGGAAACTTCCAGGAATATTTTTAACTTGGAAGGGGAGGAGGAATTCTTGGAACTAGAAAATTAGGTAAAGTCTATGTGTCCTGAGGCCTATAAGTTGTGTGCCACTTCTAGTTGTATGGCGCCTTTTTTTAAAAAAATGTCTTAGTTCTCTTACGTTAGTTGCCAAAATTAAAAGAAACATTCAAATTTCAGTTTATCTTTTCCCCCAATGTATTTGTCATTCATTGCTTGCTCTGTTCACTTAGTTCCTCCTCTTGCAGATGAGGATACAATGATGACTAACAAGTGAAAGAACACTTTTCATGAGAGTTGGCTTTGTTCAGACACAGCAAGTTGAATTAGGGAATGTGTTGCAGCAACTAAGAAGTATTATTGCTGGTCTTCTCTTCCTGATTCATCTCCAGAACTCTGAACCTGTCTGTGGAATAGATTCCCTGGATGGAGGGTTTTCAATACAGGTTAGATGGGTATCTACAAGAATCTTTAGTAGTGGCTTTTTTAACCCAGTTTGCTAGGTGATCCCTCCCAACTCTATTATTATCTGTTGGTCTTCTGCTTCCAAATGGGCACTGCATCTTTTGGTCAGTTTTTCACTCATACCTACTACCAGCTTGATCCCTAGAAAGGCATCCCAAATGCTCCTTGATCAAACAACAGTCAATGTCAAATGGAAAGGGGATGGTGGAGGCTGGCTTGGTAACAAAACCCAACTGGAAACTTTGGAGACCCGATTAGGTAGTATAGTTCTGGAAAGATGTTGTCACTTCAGCCAAAAAAATGTCAATTAGTTGAGAACCATCTCTTAGGGGATCTTCAATTGAGATTTAAGTAATCTTCTTTTGTTTATACCCTTTTCTGTCCCAAGAGAGAGTTCCTGAAACAATAAATGTAAGATTAGATTTTTAACCTTATAAGAACATTTTGAGCATTTTCTCCTGTTTTCCGCAACAAGCTATATCACAG